GTATAAAACAATAACCTTAGTGTATTGTATAAAACCTTAGTGTATTGTATAAAACAATAACCTTAGTGTATTGTATAAAACAATAACCTTAGTGTATTGTATAAAACAATAACCTTAGTGTATTGAATAAAACAATAATCTTAGTGTATTCTATAGAACAATAACCTTAGTGTATTGTACAGAACAATAACCTTAGTGTATTGTATAGAACAATAACCTTGGTGTATTGACTAAAACAATAACTTTAGTGTATTGTATAAAACAATAACCTTAGTGTATTGTATAAAACAATAACCTTAGTGTATTGTATAGAACAATAACATTAGTGTATTGAATAAACAATCTTTTTTTTTCAGTACTTTTTACCCACGATGTTATCGAAGGATTTACAAATCAATCAAAATAATTCATTTTTCCAACTTCTTGTTGTTGTTGGTTTCTTATTGCAAAACTTTACAATGTTTTTTTTTTGTTTATCGCAGGGAATTGAACTCCATATATTAACTTGCAAGTCCGTAAACTTTCCGCTGACCCACTGAAATGGTCAGTTTAACTTCTGAAGGAGGAAACCAAAATACCCGTTTATCCACTCTACAGGAGTTAGGCACAAAACTTGTGACGTAAAATTTAAAGATTTCTGACGTCATTATTGACGGTGTTGAAAGTTGAGAGACGTTAGTTGTTGGTGAATGCAGATCGTCATAAGTACATTTAATCTCACATTTCTTCGCTTATTGCTCATAATGAAACAACTTTGTTCAATAACGTTAATCGCTGGTTAGAACATTCTCTCTGGAAGGGGTTTTTATTTACCGTTAAAACTTGTGTACTTTAAAATGGTCGCACCAGTGATCGAAACGTCGTAGCTGTTGTCAAAATAAATCTTAATTACTGTAACTTGTAATAAAATATATACTTAATCAGTTATTAAACTCAAAACTAAACTATTAATGTTCTTATCATTAATGTTGCCACCGTGTTGAACATGTGTAATTAGAACCATTGTATTTATTTTACCTTTTAACAATTCTTTTCGAGTCTAATTCCATTTTAACACTGTCTTTACTGTCTGGCGAAGGGTGTTTGAACACTGTCCTTACTACCCTTCGTCAGACAGTAAAGACAGTGTTCAAACACCCTTCGTCAGACTAAAGACAGTGTTCAAACCCTGTCTTTACTGTCTGACGAAGGGTGTTTGAACACTGTCTTTACTGTCTGACGAAGGGTGTTTGAACACTGTCTTTACTGTCTGACGAAGGGTGTTTGAACACTGTCTTTACT